CACAAAGCACCGCACAATCCGCGAACCTGCCCGTTTTCCTGAGCCCATCGGAGAGCCAAGTCCTGGGGCAACGGTAACCCAAAATCCAGGCGCTTTCGGGGAGGGACAGGACACCGTGGGAACAAGAAGGACTGAGAAAAAATTCAGGCCCAGTCCTGAATGTGGGCCAGTGGGATATGCAGTACCCCTGGAGGCTTGCAGAGGTTGGGAGACGGGGTCTGCAGGGGCCTCGCAGCCGCCCGCAGGGAAAAGGGGGCCGGCAGGGGGAGGGCGCCAAGCCCCAGCACCGAGGGCCTGATGAGGTCCCGGTGCCACTGGGGGAGGAAGAGAAAACCCCTCTGCCCCGGGGAGGGGGCCCAGACCACAGCTGGGGAGGCTGGGGTGCCGATGAGGCCCCACCCCAGATGAAGGAATGCAGCAGCAAGGGTCCCTTAGACGGCTCCTTGAGGGGGCTGCCTCTGTGTGGCCTGCAGATCACACCCGCCCCCTCACCTCCTCCTAGAAGCCCACCAGCCTGCACAACCCTCCTGGTGACCCCCCGCATTCCTCTCCCCGTGGCACCCACCATTCTCTGTCGTCTTCCAAACCTACTTTTCCAGAAGTGTTTCATGAGCTTGGGCCTCCAGCCATGGGGGGTCTGGGTGACGGACACCCAGTAAAAGAGCACGATTTACTAGGGGGATGGACCTGGGCTGAGCACTGGGTAAACCCCAGGCCAGGCTGTCAAAGCTCAGCCCACAAACCTGTCGGGGGATGGACACAGGCAGGTGTCGCAGGGAGCAGGGACACCACCCGCCCCCAGGATCAAGCCCGGCTGTGCAGACACAGAGCCCTGTGAACTGGGCCTTCCCCGGAAGGCAGAACGGCTTTCCACGAGGGACGGCTTGACACACTCAGGTCTGCACTACCAACGAGGGCCCAGGCCCCAGCGCAGAGCAGGACACAGCTGAGGGGCCCGGGGTCCCGCGGAGTCAGACCCCTGTGCAGAGCTCTCACACAGAGGGTGCTCTCAGAGGCCAGCAGCGGCAGGAGGGTCTGGGCTTCCTGCTCCGTGAGAGGAAGTGAAGGCCAAGGGGGGCCCTTTGGAGGGGCTGGTCGGCGCTGGCCCAGCTGGAGGGCACAGCGGGTAGAGCTGCTGGCGGTCCCTGGAGGGTCAGGGTGGAAGGCAGGCTGAGTCCTTAGGAAAACTGCCCTCCCTCTCCCGGGGCCGAGAAAGCCAGCAAGGCGCAGAGGCTGTCACACCTCAGACACGTTGGAGTCACATGGCTTCCCGGGCCCAGCAGCAGGGCCGGGCAGTGGCACGGGCCCGGGTCCCCATGGTTGCAGGGCTGTAGCCTCACCAGCTGGCCACGCTCACCACACCCCAAGGTGGGTTCTGGCCACGGGAGGCTGTCCCAACGCCTTGAGACAGAGCATGAACTCAGCAGTCTGCCGCAGTCCCTACCACCGGCTACTGTCCACGCCTGCCCACCTTTAACACTTATCCTATCTGCTCCCAAAGACATATAACAAATGTGTGATGGTGTACGGAGCTCAGACGTAACTGAGGGGTGATGGCAGCAGTCCCAGGTCTGAAGCAGAGTGGTGACAACCACATTTCTTCCTCAGGAACTCAGCCAGGCCACATGCAGAGTAAGGCTTGGCCTGGGGCACCGGATGTGGGCAAGTACCCAGAGCTACTGTAAGGGTCCGACACACCAGGCACCCCCGTGCAGAGAGGCGCCGGTGCCTGGCCGGAGCCCCCAGCACCCCCAGGGCCCTGGGGCAGGTGAGGCCAAGCAGGGCGAGGTCTGGCCCCAGCCCCTTCCCCCAGGGCCACTCGTGCCGGTCTGCACTCAGCGCTCCGCCTCTAAACGGTTCCCCAGGATGAGAGGCGCCAACCGGCCGATCCCAGCAAAGCCTGGTGGGACCCAGGTGAGGTCCGGGTGGGACCCAGGTGAGGTCCGGGTGGGACCCAGGTGAGGTCCAGGTGGGCACAGGTGAGGTCCGGGTGGGACCCAGGTGAGGTCTGGGTGGGACCCAGGTGAGGGAGTCCTACCTTGAAAGAAGCTCTTCACCCGGAGGTAACTGACGCTGAGGCGCAGAACCGAAAGCTTGTCCAGCTTAGAGACGATGTCGGGGGGCAGTGGCAGCAGGCCGGCTAGGCGGTCCAGCTCGGCGTTGAGGCGATCCCGGTGTCTCTTGGAAGGGTTCGACCTCTCGGCGCCCACGGCGGGCCTCCTGCGGGGAGAGCTCACGATCAGACTGGGAGTCCCGGGCGGTGACCTCAGGCGGAGCCGTGAACTTCAAAATGCAGCCGCCAGACGAAACCGCGCCCGTCCCCGAAGTCGCGCGAACTCAACTGTCGGCCAGGCCAACCGTGCCGGCCACTGGCCCGCGGTAGTGGGGGTTATAGCACAGAGAGACACGGAGCGGGCAGCAGGAGAGCTGTGTGACCCCAGCGCGCTTGCTGGCCTCTCTGTGCTAACTCCCCCGACGTGGCAGAAGGACACCGGCTCTGGCCGCACCGCTCACCTCTCTCGGCGCCCCTCTAGGGCCCTCAGTCCAGGTGTGAGCGGCCCCTCCGGGCCTCAGTTTCCCACTACACAGCAGGGCTGAAAGGCTCTGAGGCGAAGATGGTGGAGGCGGCCCGGGCACCGCGGCGCTGTCCCGCCCGCCCCTCCGAGGCCCCGAAGTGCGGCGGCCGGGGCCCCGCCACAGAGCGAGCGGCCCCTGCCCAGGCTTCCCCGCCCACCGCGACCCGCTCCCGGGCCCTCGCAACCCCGGGACGCCGGTGCCCTCCCCCGCCCCGCCCCCACCTTCCTAGAAAGCAAAGCCAGGACGGCTGGTGAAGGCCGCTGCCCTGGGCCTGCCCCTCCCTGCTGCCCTTAGAGGCTCGGTACTCTCTCGGCCGGAAGTTCCTACTCCTCTTCTGTGTGTTCACCCTTACGAACGTGGAAAGCTGCTTTACGCCATCCTTTCTGTCAGAAGCCCCGGGGCTCACCCCCCACCCACGCTGTCGGCGCCGAGGCCACACAAAACCACACAAGAGCTGCGGCTCCAATCCCAGAAGCGGCTTCTTTCTTTTAACGGAGATGCAATTCACATAACATAAAGCTGTTTTAAAGTTTTGGCGTTTACTACATTCACAGTGCTGTCAACCTCTATCAAGCTCCAAAATATTCTCCTCACCCCCAAGTCACCCCCCGCCCGCCCCACGAAGCAGTTTCCCTCATCCTCCCCGCCTCTCAGCCCCTGGCGGCCACAATCGCTTTCTGTCTCCCCGGGTTTGCCCGTTCTGGACACTTTGTGTAAATGCAATCAGACTTCGCGTGCCTGGCCTCCTTCACCGGCCATGAGGCGTCAAGGTTCACCCACGGCACAGCCCGGGTGGAGCTTCACTCCTTTTCACGGCTGTGTTCCACGGCCCGGATGGATGCACCTGCTCGTCTGTTCACCAGTCCACGGGCACTTGCCTCGCTCCCACTTTACGGGTATTGTAAACCCTGCAGCCATAAACTTCGAGTCCACACTTCTGCTTGAACACGTGCTTTCAGTTCTCTTGGGTATACGCCTAAGAGCAGAACAACCGGCTTAACCTGGTGGTTCTAGGTTTAACTTTGAGAGGAGCTGCCAGACTGTCCTCCACAGCGGCTGTGCCCCGTCACGTCCCCCAGCCACACTCCGCAGCCTCGCCAGCGCTTGTTATTTTCCTTTTTTAAAATAAGAGCCATTCTCATAGGTGTAAAGCAGTATCTCATTGTGGTTTGATTGGCATTTCCTTAATGACCAGTAAAGTCAAGCGTATTTTCACGTGTTTGTCGGCTATCTCTTTATCTTCTTTGGAGAAATGTCTACTCAAGTCCTTTGCCCATTTTCGAATTGGGGTGTTTGCTTTTCTGCTCTTGAGTTGTAGGAAATCTTTATATATTCAGGATTCTAGATCCTTAACAGACATACAATTTGCAATGATTTTCTCCCATTCTCTGGTTATCTTGCTGCTTTCTGCTGTTTCTTTTTTACTTTTCTCCCCTCAGTGAGGCACCTACACCAACATTACTCAGGCTGCTAGCCAAAATGTAAAGGGTCAGGAGGCCTGGGGAGACTGAACAGACCCCGTGTGGACTGGCACTTGACGGCCAGAGGAGAGGCCCACCCAGGAGTGAAAGACACTCGAAGCCGCCCCAGAAAACAAGGTAGCGCTGAGGGCAGGTGCGGGAGCCAGAGAAGGGGAGAGGGTGGCCCGGCCTCAAATCTCACCTCCGGGTAGACCTGTGGGGAGCAGTCGCCCCTCCCAGCCCATGTGTGCCTGGGATGGGACGAGCCGTGACTGTCCCCAGCCCGCACCCCCGAGGGGCACCTGGGGGGACACTCGCAACTGAACAGGTGCTGGAAAAGCTCTAGTCCTTCCAGCTTTCTCAGACCACCTGGCTGCCCTTCCACGTGGCCCCCCTCCAGCTCCGGGCGCCAGAGCAGAACCTCCCCGCCCCCGCCAGGTGGGTGAGAGGGGCCATGTGGAGGGAAATGCTCCCCTGAGCTGGCCTCTGGCTCAAGCCCAGGGCCACAGGGAGGAAACTCCAACTCCCCAGGGTGGAGACGCGGCAGGAGGTGAGGGGACAAGGGACCAGCAGCATGGGAGGCGCCTGGCCACTCGCTGGCAGGAGGGTCACAAAGGGGGCCAAAACATAGAACACCTGGGACAAGCCCAACAGAAGACATTCCAGACGCCTAAACGGAGACTATAAAATAGTGCTGAGAGAAACTTAGAGACATAAACAAACAGAAAGACACACCATGTACAGGACTGTAAGACTCAATATTGTTAAGACTGTGTTACTCCCCCAAACTGATCCGTGGACTCAATGGAGCCTCAACTGAAATTCCAGCAGGACTTTTTACAGAAATGACAAGGAGTCTAGACTTTACATGGACATGCAGAGGACAGAGAATAGCCAATTAGAGGGCAAAGTTGGAGGACTTGCCTGACTGACTATAAGCCTCTCTGAAGCTGCAATGTTCCGAATGGTTTGGTATTAGAGAAACGATGGAAACGTAGATCAATGCAACAGAATAGAGAGCTGAGAAACAGACTCACATATTTTCGGTCAATTCATTTGACACAGATACTGAGGCAATTCAACAGGGAAAGAAAGTCTTTTCAATAAATGGTGCTAATCAACTGGACATCCATGAATACAAGTAAACATCAGCTCTTACCTCACACAATACCTGAAATTAGCTCAAAATGGATCATAGACCTAAGTCTAAAACGTACCATGAAAGTTTACAAGAAAATATGCGAGAAAATCTTTGAGACCTCAGAGTAGTTAGTCCTGGGACTCTTAGGACACACACCAAAAAAAAAAAAAAACAAAAACAAACAAAAAAAAAACTTGTAAAAGAAAAAAATGATAAATTGATCTTTTTCAAAAATTTCTAATTGTCTTTGAAAATCACCATTAAGAAAATGAGAAGGGGAGGCATTGATTGATTAAAAATATTCACAAAAAGAGCCTGTATCCAGAATATGTAAAGAAGTTTTACAATTCAACAAGAAGACAAACAGCCCAATAAGAAGATAGGCAAATTATTTAGAAAACTCTTCACCAAAGAAGCTGTATGGACGGCAAATAAGCACATGAAAGGATATCAACACCATTAGTCACTAGGGAAACACAAATTAAAACCATGGTGAGCTACCACCACAGCCCATCAGAGTGGCTGAAACCAAGACTGACACCCCAGGCATCGCTAAGAAAGTAAGGAATCACACGCTCAGCTGCCAGGAATGTAAACGGCGCAGCTGCATTGGAAAATGGTCTGGTGGTTTCTTAAAAAGTCAAACCCTCCTCTGCTGTATATGTGACCCACAATCCCACTCCTAGGTGTTTACCCAAGAGAAATGAAAACATTACATCCAAAGACCCGTATGTAAACATTCACAGCAGCTTTATTCGTGATACCCCAACCTGGGAACCACCCAAATGTCCACCTGAGATGAACAAACACACGTGGTTCATCCACACAACGGGCACCACTCAGCGTAAGAAGGACACACCCGGCACACAAAGCACAGAGGAACCGGCATCATCTCGACAAGGGAGAGAAGCCCCACAAGGTTTAGGGTCCCATTTATAGAAAATTGTGGGAAATGCAAACCAGCCTCTACCGGACGAGAGCACAGGCAAGGTCGCCTGGGACGAGGCTACCGGAGGAGTGACAAGGGCGCAAGGAGCCTTCGGACGTGATGGGAGTGTCTGTGACCTTGGCTTCGGCAGTGTTTCTCGGGTGATTACACATCTCAAAACCAATCAGACTGTGCACTGTAAGTACGGCGCAGCTCTGCGTGCTTCAGTCACAGCCCAATCAAGACCAAACATGCAAACGAGGGGGGAGCCCCGCTGCTCACACACCTCCGAGCTCAAGGTGCCGATCTGCGGTGCAGGGACCCTCCGCTGCGGTCACGCCCCAGCCCTGCTTCCCTCCAGCGCAGGTCCAGCCCTGAGGGCCTGGCAGGGGGCAGGTTCTACCCTGGGATTCTAGCAGGTTCCACCTCCCAGTTCAGGCATCACAGGCTCACGGCTTTCACGGCCCATCCACGGAGGATGGGGCCAGACCACAGTCCACAGCCCTCGGCGAGGCGAGGGGGCAGTACTGCAGCTGGCCCGTGGGGCTCACACCCCAGGAGGGGCCGTGGGCCCGGGCACCTGCACATGTGCACACCGCCGGCAGCTCCTCTGGCCTTTGCGATACACAGACGCTAGCACTCAGACAAGCCGGCATGGCCACGTCCCCCAGAGGGTCCACAGGCACAGCCAGGGGAGTGTGTTCAAGTTACTCCACTGTCTTTCGCTGCCCCTCAAATCACAAGTCTAAATGCCCAATGCCATTACAAATCGGTGAGGAAAACACTGATTATCGAATAGAAGGATTAGGAACAACCAGTGGCCACAGGAGAAAAGAGAGAGACTCAGACCCCACACCTTACACCAGGAAAAATTCCAAGTGCTCAAAATTTAAATATATTTATTAAGGAATCCAAAACATTTAGAAGAACTCCTGGGAAAATTATCATAAACTTGAATCAGGGAAGATCTTTCCAATTGTGACATAAAAGTAATTAGCCACACAAAGTAAAAGATGAATAAATTCAACTTCATAAAAATGAAATGCTTTCTGCACTGCAAAGAACACCACAAGTAAAATAAAAACTGGGGAAAGGTATGTGAAATACATTTAAGAATTAGTCTCCCCAGTGTACAGCAAGCTCTTACAAATCAAGAAGCAAAAACATAAACAGGGCTTCCCTGGTGGCGCAGTGGTTGAGAGTCCGCCTGCCGATGCAGGGGACACGGGTTCGTGCCCCGGTCCGGGAAGATCCCACACGCCACCGAGCGGCTGGGCCTGTGAGCCATGGCCGCTGAGCCTGCGCGTCCGGAGCCTGTGCTCCGCAACGGGAGAGGCCACAACAGTGAGAGGCCCGCGTACCGCAAAAAAAACCACAAAAAACATAAACAATATAATAGAAAAATTATCAAAAGTTGTCAACACAGACAGTTCACAGAAAAGGAAATACAGTGGCTGCTAAGCCTCACGTATGAGAAGAACACGCAAATTCACCGAAGTCTGAGGCACGCCGTGTGCCCGGCAGGGCATGCCTCCAGTGCTGGCCGGTTTGGTGACACCTATGAAATCACAAATACCACACTCTTGGCCTGAGCAATCCCACTTGCAAGAATGCATATGCCTGTTGGGTCTGTGGCCTCGATTTACCTGCTTGCAAGCTAGTAACCTGCTGCTGTTCACGGATCCTGGCAGAAGGTGTGAGCCTCCACGGTCAAGGACAGGAAACTTACTGCTCACAGCATGGCAGGCAGCGCGAGCCTCTGTATGCATCACTGACCCCAAGTCTGTGAGGGTGACACAGAAGGGGCCACGCAGGGGCTGCGCGCACAGGGTTTGTGTCAAAGCCAAGCAATCCACCACTTTCAGAGTAAACAGTTAACAAGCCTGCTTGGGCCTGCGAGGGAACGGCCAGCACACAGCCACGGCGGTGGCCTCTCCAACGACGAGCACGAGTCCAACACCAGGCACAAAGTCACTCAGCACAGCGGCGCCTGTAAGCCAGTCGTAACGGACGCTGGCGGAGGGCTAGTGACAACAAATCACGGCATGCCCCGCACAGCTGGACAAGGAATCCATGAGGAACAATGTCGAAGGTGCACGGCCGTGTATGCGGTTGTGTGCACACAGGCAGGGAGCTCCTGTGCTGCACACCGTGTTTGCTGATTTGTGCGTTAATGCTCTCAGCCCCCCAGATCCCGGTGTACGAGGCCCCCCAGATCCCGGTGTACGCAGCCCCCCAGATCCCGGTGTACGCGGACCCCCAGATCCCGGTGTACGCAGGCCCCCAGATCCCGGTGTACGCAGCTGCCTGTCCAGGTACTTATTTCCTTATTTAAGGTGACAAATGTTCTCACAGAACAAATGAGCTCAGGACATAGGCCCCCCGCACCACCTCCTTCTAGTGCATAGCTCTGCTCCCCACACCTGCCCCCTCTCACCTGCAGACCAGGCTGAACACGTCCCCCAGCACCCTGGCTCCATCCCAAGGCCCACAGTGGCCACACAAGTGACTCAGGTGACAACCAGTTTCCAAAGTCCAGCCTCACCAGCCTTTGACACCCATCCTTGGGACTGGAGGTGCCCGCATTCCTGTCAACCTCTCATGGCGTCCTGCAGCCCCTGGGGGCCCGGAGGGTGGCCTGGGTGCCAGAAACCCAGATCCCCACAGAGACACTACTGCAGGTGCACACACACACACACCCGCACCCAGACACGGCTGTGTTACACACATGAAGCTACATAACACATCTGTATTACACACACACAGAGGCTCACACACACACACACAGCCCCAGCCACGGTGGACACACCGCAGGACCTGTCCCAGGACGGACGCAGCCCTGGGCTCTGGGAGCCGCTCTCTGCAGACCAGTTCCATGACTGCAGGCCACCCGCTTCATGGCCCCGAGCCCCACTGGCCAGCCACGGGCAGGTGGGGGATGTGAGCGTGGTGCTGTGTCCCGGGGCTGGCGGGGGCCGTGCCTGGGGTTCCCTGCCTCCACCCCACTCCGCCTCCCGGACGCCCCAGGCCGAGAGGACGAGCCCCGGTCTCCTTTCGCTTGGGGTGAAGCCCAGAGGCACTGTGGTGCATGCAGCCAAGGACGAGGACAGGGTCTTACCAGGGCGGGGGAGGGGCGCCCTGGGCCAGACCTCAGCGTCCAGTCAGGGCTGGGAAGGCGGCCCAGGGTCCCACCTGCGTTCCCGAGCTCCAAGAGTGTCCCCTGCCCGGCCCGGCCCCCGCTGGTCCTGCGGGTCCCCGCACCCTCAGGAAGGCTTGACCGAAACCTCGCCTCACTCACTTTGTTCCTAAAGTTCACGTTTTTCAATGAAAACACAAATGCCTCCCCTCCATCAGTAACAGTCAGCAAAACCAGAAGACGGATACTTTACTGTTTCTGAATGGGCTTCCTTCGTTTCCTCCCCGCATACAGGCACTCCCCCGGCGGGATCATCGTCTTGGGCCCTAAGGAAAAAAGGGGCATCAAGTTGGTCACACTGAAGAGACCCCAGTGCCCCCATACCCCGCCAAACCACCAAGGCGGCGGGAGCAGCAGCGGAGGCCCGGCGCGCTGTCCTCCCCCAGCGCTGGCTGAGCGAGATGCCCGAGGGCATGACCCGCACGGGGGTGGGGGGTGTGGGGGTGGGGCTGGGGGTGGGGCTGGGGCTGGGGGGGCTTGGGGGGGCGTGGGGCTGGGGGGGTGGGCTGGGGGTGCGGGGGTGAACCATCCCCTCCTCAGCCCAAGGCTGAAGCCGGCTCATGACCTCTCCCCTTCGATGGGCGGCCTTGCGGCCGCCAGCCTAGCCAGAGGACACAGTCCTGCCACCACACTCCTGAGACAAACAGCACTGTGCTGGGAAAGCTTCCGGCAGGTAGACACCCTGAGGCGCCAGAAAACAGGAGCCACTCCGCAGTGGGCACCGAGGACCGTGTGCTGGGTTAGGGCGCGGGCCGGCAGGCTATCCCAGTGCCGCCTGCGGCCACGCTGCCCCTCCCGCTCCTCCCCTACAGCCTGTATTTCTAGGCACACAGGCTTCCTCTTTTCTACTAAAATCTCTCTCCACTCCACAATGCTGGGCTTCCACTTTGGCCACTAACTCACAGCCACACCGAGCCCAGCTGACCATGCCTGCTGGCCTCCACCAGCAGTGTGGACACTGCAGTCGGTGTCTGTGCCCTGAGGCTGGTCAGCTCGCCCATCACCTCAGGGAGTGCATCACAATCTTGATTTTCCCGTGCAGTGAGGATGTCTGAGCCCTCACAAACATCCTGCAGACCGGTGACCCCTCAACACCAGGCTCTGGGCCAGCTGACCCACAGAGGAGGTTAGGAGCCCTCCCCTGGCCTCAAGTGTGTACTACCTGGAAGAGGAAGCAGAATCAAACACGCGGTTTCCACCCTGTCCAGAAAGTGCAGTGAAAACACTGGAAACATGTCATGGATCCACTTTCAGGATAAGAAACACACTTTGACTATTGACATAAGTAGGTAAAGTAAATGGATCAAAAAAGATACACTAATCAAAAGTACAGCTGGAGTAGCTGTGTGAGTATCAGACAGACCAGACTTCAGAAAAAGGATTATTACCAGGGACAAAGAGGGATATTATAAAAGAATAAAGGGGCCAGTTTTCCAAGAAGATGTAGCAATCCTAAATGAGAATGCCTCAGCCACAGCTTCGAAATACAGGAAGCAAAAACTGAAAAGATAATTCATTAGTAACTTCATTCCTCTCTGAGTAATCAATAGAGCAAACCAACAGAAAATCACAAAGGAGAGAGAATATCCAAACAACAACAGATGTAGACTAACTGAAATACAGAGACTACTCCAGCCAACAGCAGCAGAATACACATTCTCCGCACATGGAACATTCATCAAGATAGACCATATTCTTGAACTTAGAACAATCCTTAACAAACTTCAAAGAATAAAAATACAAAGTATGTTCTCTAACAATAATGGAATTAAACTAGAAAGATATATGGAAAATTCCCAACTATTTGGTAAGCAACCCATTTCTAAATAACCACGGGTCAAAGAGAAAGTCTCAAAGAAATTTAGACGTATTTTGAACTGAATGAAAATGAAAATACAGCATATCAAACTCTGTGGGATAGAGCTGAGCAGTACTTTGACCGACACTGATAACATTAAATGTTTGTATTAGAAAAAAATTAAACGTTTCAAATAAGTAATCCAAGCTTCCACTTTAAGTAATTAGAAGAAGAGAAAACAAATCCAAATCAAGCAGAAAGGTGGAAATAATAAAGAGGAAAAATCAATGAAACTTAAAATGGAAATACAGAAAAATCAACGAAACCAAGAGCTGGTTCCTTGAAAAGATCAACAAAATTGATAAACTTCTTGCCAGACTGATCAAGAAATAGAGGAGATATGAATTACTAATATCATGAATAAAAGAAGGGACATCACTACAGACCCCACAGACATTAGAAGGAAAATAAGAGAACACTGCCACGAACTTAGCTGTGTGCCCGCCAAATTCATATGTTAAAGCCCTAACCCCCCATTTGACTGTATTGCAGATGGACCTTTAAGGAGGTGATTAAGGTGAAATGAGGTCATATAGGTGGAACCCTGATCTGATAGAACTGTTGCCCTTATGAGAAGCGGAAGAGAGAGGAGAGCTCTGTCTTCACCGTGTGCAAGCCAAGAAGAGCGCACTCTCATCAGAAACCAAATCAGTGGGCACCGTGATCTTGGGCTTCCCAGCCTCCAGAACTGCGAGAAATAGATTTTCATTGTTTTTAGGTGTTGGTTAAGCCACCCAGTCTGTGGTATTTTGTTACGGCAGCCCAAGCAGACTAAAACAACTACTATCCCCACAAATTCAACAATTTAGATGAAACGGACCAATTTCTTGAGTGACATGAACTACCAAGCTCACTCAAGAAAAAACAGATAGCCTCTTTAGCCCTGTATTTATTCCAACAACAACAAACAAAAGCAAAAGCCCAGATGGATTCCCTGGTAAATTCTACCGATTTAAGGAAGAAATAATACCAGTTGTTTGCAGAAAACTAAAAATTAAATTAAAAATTGCCGACTCATTTACAAGCTCAGCGTTACCTTGATACCAAAACCAAAGACACTTTGAGAAACCGATGGACAAAAATCCCTCGTGAACATAGGCACAAAAGTCTTCAATTAGACATTAGCAAATGGGGTCCAACAATAAAGAGCACAACACATCACAAATGGGGTTTGCTCAAGGAATTCAAGCCTGATTCGACAGCCAGAAATTGACCAGTATAATTCACTTTATTAATAAATAAAAGAGAAAAAATATATGGTCACCTCAACATACATAAAATGCATTTGACAAAATCCAAATCCATTCATAATAATAATAAAAAACCTCTCATCAAACTAGGACTAGAAAGGAACTTAATTAACCGGATAAAGGATATCTACCAAAAAACCCTACAGCTGACATCACACCTAACAATGAAAGACTGTATACATCCCCAGAGATCATGAATAAGACAAAGATGTCCTCTATCACCATTCCCCTTGATGTTCACAGACAACAGGATGGTACATACAGAAAATTCCAAAATTTGGCTAAGACAAATCTTTTATAACTTACAATAACTGAGTCCAGCAAGGTCACAGGGAAAAAGAACAAGATAAAAAAGTCAATTGTGTTTCTCTACACTAGCAATGAACAACTGGCAAACAAATTTTTAAAAAACCACACCGTTTACAACAGCACCAAAATAAAAATTAAATATTTAGGTATTTCAATAGGTTTAATACGTGTAACTGGGGCCCTAGAGAATGGGAGGGTAATAGAGGTGACAGAAAAAAATTAAGTAATAATAGCAGAAATTTGTCCAAACAATGAAAACTATAAACCTACAGATTCAAGACGTCAATGAAAACCCCAAGCACAAGGAAGAAGACTACACCAGGCACATCATAATCAAATGACTCATAACCAGAGATAAACAGAATAGTCTTAAAAGCCACCAGAGAAAATAGCATTGGGTACAAAGAAACAGAGATAAGTATGACAGCAGATGCCTCCCGAGGAACATGTACACGAGGGGACAGCGGAGCAGCATCTTTAAAGCACTGAAAGAAAAAACCTGAAACGAGAATTCTGAACCCTGTGAAAATATCTTTCAAAAATTAAGGCTAAATGAAGACTTTTTCAGACCTAAAAAAGCTGAAAGAATTCATTGCCAGCTGACCCACACTATAAGAAATGTGAAAGAGT